TGGGCTAGAGCATCCAGCCTAGCAGGTTATAGGTATAGACAGGCATGAGGGCTACCACACAAAGGAAGGGGAGATACAGAATAGTAACAGGAAATGATGCAGAGGTGGCCACAGTCCTTGGAAGAGTGCCAGATAACAAGGTCTCTGTGGTCCCTGTGGGTGGGCTTGGGAGAATACTTGAGTCTCCAGCGAGAAAAATGACTGGAGGGATTAGGGTCCTTGTTCTAGCAGTTGGCTAATAAGCAGAGGGACCTCTGCAGGAGGAACTGAAGCAGAAGGAGTTAATACAGTGTGGGACCCAAGAGAAGAGCTAGACCACAGAAGAGATGGACTCTGGTTGAATAAAGGTTCTTAAAAATTTGCTGAGTCAACCCTGCATAGAGACTGGGCATGTGGCTGAGCCTCCAGGTTGGAGACTTAGGTATACCCTAGCATAGGGATGAGACTGCAGACCTGGAAACAGGGAGGGCCTGATAAAACTGGCAAGAAAATTTCCACAGTCATCCTAGATTAAAATAACACAATGAATGGGCTCCAGACTTTCCTCCTATAAAATGCTTCTTAAGAGTGACATCTAGGGGCAAGTGCCTTTTAAAGACACTCCTCAAATGACCTGCTTTGCATAGATGGGTCTGTGGACTGTTATTTGGTTCCCCTGATGACTTCAGATTTGCTTGGTGCCTACTGTGTGCACAGAACATCTCCAAAATGCTTGTTTATAAAAGAACAAGTTCTTCCTGGTCTTTGACCACTGTCCTGTATTGAATGTATACTATGTGTATATATTCCATGGCCTGTTCTCTTGGTAAAGGGTACTGCTCTGACTGGAAAGAAATATGTAAGATTTATGTCAATAAGGAAATCTCCACAAAAATTTGAATATGTACCATATTACACTCACTTATTTGTATTATTTAATGAAACATTAGATTTCACAATCAGATTTAGTTCCTCAATGTACACATGTTAAACCTGCCTCCTGAAGGTTTATTACCTCCATGTGATGGTGGTCTGTCCATCTGGTCCTGAGTTACTGAGTTCGTAACTCACAGAATACAACGTATGATATGGAAGGAAGACACCCCAGAGGTTACCCAGTGTGATCCAGCTCCTCCCCTATGAGGTGCTATCCCTTCACTGCTCCACTTAGTAAACACCTACCGAGTGCTTACTGTGGCTCAGGCCCCTTGTGAGGGACACAGGACACATGTGGCCCTGTTGCACAGAGCTCACAGTTGGGATAGGGAAAGACAAACAGCAAACCGGTACAAATAACTGAATTTTATGATACATGCAATGAAGGACCTGATAGGGGACTGTGGCAAAGAGTGACAGGAGGGAACCCAATTTAGAAGACTGCTCTGAGGAATAACATTTATGCTGAGACCACAGGGCAGCACAGAGCATTCTGGGAAGAAGGCAGTGGGAAGCTGGGATTGGGGAAGATGTGGAGGAAGGGCACAGTGATGAGGGAGCAAGTGAGGGGGACAGTGTGGGGTGAGGCTGGAGGGGTAGGGCCTCCTCACACAGGGCCTTGCAGGTCAAGCTTGGATATTTAAAATTTTTATTTGTTTTGAGACAGAGTCTACTCCTTGCTAGGATGGAGTACACTGGCTCGATCTCAGCTCACTGCAACCTCTGCCTCTTGGGTTCAAGTGATTCTCCTGCCTCAGCCTCCTGAGTAGCTGGGATTACAGGCATGCACCACCACACCCAGCTAATTTTTGTATTTTTAGTAGAGAAGGGTTTCACCATGTTGGGCAGGATGGTCTTGATCTCTTGACCTTGTGATCTGCTTGCCTCCGCATCCCAAAGTGCTGGGATTACAGATGTGAGCCACTGTGCCTGGCCAGATATTTAGATTTAATTCAAAATGACAAACTACCATCGCATGGATGTTAATCAGCCTCACTCAGTTTGAAGAGATGAACATTATATCTATTTCTGAAGTTCAGTTTTTAAGCAAATTCTGATTAATTTACAATCTTCTAAGAGACTAAACAGTTAACTGAATGAAGGAGGAACTTTTAAATGTTGACAGTATTATCTTTGGAAAGCAGAATAATGGATTTTTATATCTTTTGGTATTTTTAATATTTTGCTGGCTCTTGATTTTAATAAACAGCATTTACTAGTTTAAAAATTTAAAAAAAACACATTCTCACATTAAAAAATTAGAAGCCAAATTTCATTTGCCAATGATAAAAATATATTTGTGTATTATATATATTCTATAACTGTTCAGTGAAATTTAAAATAATGTGGCCTAGAATAAATTACCAATGAATAAAAACTCTGTTTTCTTTTTTATTCCTTCTATAAGGAATAATTTTCTATGGAGAATTTACTAAAATCGCCATTGTTGAAATGTATTTGTTTAGCCCCTGTGTGTAGCATGCTGCTCCAAAGGCTAACAAATACTCCTGAGCTCAAATGCTGGGCCTTGGTTCTGTGTTTCTCTATCTAATTGTAGCTTGTTTCTGAACTCTCCCTTATTCTAGAAGTAATTGTGACTATGGTCCTAGACTGAAGTAGCTCCCTTGGGAAGCAGAGAGGCGGAATGCAGTAGAGCTTCTTTCAGTTCCTCTTACTTCCCTGCTCAAGCCACTAGTTAGGTATGTTTTTCTTTGTGGATCAGGCTTACCTCACTCTTAACAAAAAAGTGGGTCAACTTTTCTCCGTTGTTCCTAACAGGTTATTCAAATATGCAGCATGTATTAGTTAACCTCATCAATTCAAAATAAGCGATTCACTGGAAATAAGGATGCCTTTAATTCAAAATGCAAATGTATACAACATTTCCCAGCTTCCCTAAAAATGGCAGCTTTATTATACAAGATTCTGAGACACTATTTGGAGAGTTTAGAGATGTGCTCCCTGATCTTGAAGAACTTCAATTCTTAAAGAAAACGTAAAACCAAGAAACAGAAAATTCTTTTGGAAGGCTTTGCAGTATGTAAAAGAAAAAAAAAATTATCACAAGGTCACAGTCAAATGATGAAAATATCTGCTGCCCATCTTTGTCAACGTGTAAACTTTGGAAATTCTGCATATATATGATTTAAAGCTGTGGTATTCAGGATTTTTCCTGTTGTGAAGGATGAGGGAACACAGGGAGACAGTGAGCAGAGAGGGGGTGGGAAGGGGAAGCAGAACATGTGGAGTTAGAACTCCACTTGCTCTTTAAGCAGAGCATGCTACTTTGTGTTGTTTTATATATTATCTGAGATTTCATTTCAAAAATGGTTTCTCAGCTTAAAAGTTTTCAAAGTTTGAAGACACACTGTGATGACCACAACAATGGCGGCTGCTGTTTATTGATTCTCTGCTGTGGTCTAGGCACTGGGCTAAGCATTCTGGATATTTCATTTAAGTAATCCCTAGAAGAACCATGGGAAGTAGGTCTTATTATTCCTACTTTACCGATGAAGAAACTGATGTTATGAAAGGATGAATAATCATTATATATGTGGTTATTAAGTAGCAGGGCCAGGAATCAAACTCAAATTTCTTCGCTCCAAAGTCCATCCTTTCTACCACCATGTTATGCTGAATGTGTGCTTAAGGCTCCACGTGCACAGATTCACAGGCATTTAACATGTACGCCAGCACTCCAAAACACACGTACACACACACACAAGTACAACAAATGTACTAAAGTGTGTTGTTAGTAGAGCACACTGCCTAAACATTGCTTTAGTAAAAAAGGTTTAAATGGCTTGAGAAACAAGCTTTGGTCACTAAGGATGGAGAGATATTTCAGACTGAGAGGACAGACTGTGCAAAGGCCCACTGCAAAGGTTTGTTGCTTTGGGTGGAAGCTGCAGATAGGGGGAAGCAACCTCTCCCTGGCCTCCCCATACTGCAAATCTTTTTGTGAAAGAATGTTTTGAAACTTAAAAATAATAACAACATCAAAGAAAGAAATACTGCTGGGATTTGACGGGGTGACATGGGCACCAAGGGGTCTATGGGAATGTCGTCAGCAACAGGACAGATGTGCAGTAATTCTAGGGAAAACTACTGGCAAAAAGGAAGAGAACATATATACAAAAAGAAGGAGAGCCTGTTACTGAGGCCAAATTCCGTGTGTTTGTCTGATTCTTTAAGTTGCAGTTTATTGCTGCTCTGTATGTCTGAAGCTAGTTGGATGAACCTCCCAGACAGGAGAGAAGAACTGAGTGTTTTCCCCCCTTTACATGGTGACATTCTTCTAGGGTTTTTTTTTTTTTTTTTTTTTTTTTGGAACCATTTCTCTGTTCCAGGAAGTTGTCAAAACATGTGATTTTTAATTTTAAAGAAAAACAGGACTGAAATGTGTCAAGTCCCTGGAAATAGTCTGAAACTCAATTGAGTTTATGCAGAAAAACACACACTAAAAATCACAAGACCATCTGGTCACAGAGATCTCAGTTTCTCTGACAACACCACTGGAACTGTGGGAGGGTAAGTCTTGTAATCACCAAATGGAAAATTAGTCAGGAGAACAAACAAGAACAGACAGGTTTCAAAACAATGTATCCTAGTTCCTGTTCCACTAAACTTCAAGGGGCATGTCATCTCCCAAGGGTAACCTTGGACTCAAGAAGAGACTCAGGGAAAACAGAGCAAGTCTGAGATGTTGAGTGCAAAGCAAATCATGTTTAAGATATACTAAGGGAGTGGTTATTTAAAGAGTACTCAAGGCAAAAGTACATATAAAGTAGTTATTCTTTGTCTCTGTTTTGTGTTTGTATTGCTATAAAATAGGAATATTACAGTAGTAGTTATAATTCTTCTGAATGTTCATTAATAGTTATTAATTTTGCCAGTGTTAAATTCTCTTGAGTATTTGAAGTATCTGATAGTCAAAACTGGATATACACCAGAAAGGAATGAAAAGCAGGTAGAATCTACACCAAGCTTGTCTAACCCACATGCAGCCCAGGATGGCTTTGAATGTGGCCCAACACAAATTTGTAAACTTTCTTAAAACATTGTGAGGCTTTTCTGTGATTTTAAATTTTTTTTAGTTCAGCAGCTCTCTAGTGTATTTTATGTGTGGCCCAAGACAATTCTTCTTCCAATGCGGCCCAGGACAGCCAAAAGATTGGACTCCCCTGATGTACACACTCCCTGGGAGATGGGCAGACTCATGTAGGAGCTTGTTTATAGGTGAGCAGGAAATGCTAGTGGTCTTAGCAGAACCTGTGGTCAAACTGACAAGATTTCAAATGAAATTTTGGGCACTCTGCCCTATAAAAACGCGGTAAGCGCAGGTGGCGCATCAAGAATTCATCTGTAGGAAAAACCAAGAGAAGCTCACAAACTGTTTGTGAATGCTGAAAAATCTGTGTATTTTGAGTCTTTTAGCTAAGGTCTTGAATAGATAAATATCCAGTGGCTAATCTGCTCAGCAGACACCCTTCCTGAAAGCCATCTTTAGTGCCAGCATCATCCCAGTGTTCCATATTTGCCCATACCACTGCTTATGAAATATTTTTCCTTCTGTTTGGTTTTAGGTGGATTACTGATAAGTGTCATTTTGCACTTGGGGAAGGAATGAATGGAAGTGATGGGGGGAGGTAGGGTTGGCCACATCAGAAGAGGATAGGAGGAGAAGTTGGACTGACCTCCAAGCTGAGCGAGAGATGAGGGCTGCGGTGTGCTGCAGGCACCATCTGCTTGGGTGCTATTCTCAGTAGGCGATGAAGAAGGAGGTGACTTACCTGAAATTTCTGGAAGTGTTGGCTTGTCTTCTTTCCAGAAGTTCCCATCACGAAGAGGAAGTCAGGGGTTAGCACAAATGGTACTCTCTCTTTATTAATGCCCAGGAAACTTTTGTAATTCCCAAGAATGTGCCCGAAGTCAATATGAAATAGGTTTCCTTAAGAGAACAAAGTATCTGACATCATTACAGTGGCATAGCACTTTGTTCCTTAAAATAGTTTTTGAGTTGCCTAAAAATGAGTTATCTTGAAAGCATTTTTTACAATGTTTTGTCAGCTTGTGGTATTTTTTGTCTTAGCAGGTGTGTGAAAGTCGTAGCCACAAAACATTCTTTGAACCAAGTATGTTTTTGATATCCTTCTTGTGTTCTTTAGATGACAGCCAGATGCCACTATAAAATTCTCATCTCAAAATTATTCTCAGAAACATAAAGCAAACTCTCTGGCCAGTATGTCATCATTGTCTCTAAGACTCTCTTATGCTCTTTACGTAACTCAGGATAGACTGATGTTTCACTCTGCTTGGGGGCAGGGGTATTCGTCTTTTTCTTTTGAGTAGCCGTCTATGGCCATATCACCCTGAATGTACCTAAGCTTATCTGATCTCAGAAACGGGTAGCATGATAGAAGCAGAACACTGCGAGTCTCCTTTGGGTCAATTTCTACGCCTACTACTATCACCATCACAACTATCATCATCTTATTTGTTTGGCCCTTTATCATTTCTATTGTCCATAAATACAGTATCTCTTTTCATTCTCATAGGAAGAAAGCAGTCTGTCCCCATCTGATGCTTTTTCCAGACTCTACTGTTAAAATCGCCCAAATTCCTAGAGAAAAATCTCATGCTGTGGTGGCCACTACTGACTATTTTCAGAGTGGACAGTGAACCACGGAAGTGGAGTAGGTTAGGGAGATTTAAAGATATCTATAAGTTCTTTCTGTTGCTTCTGTGCAACATCTGTCACTGGCGATCCCTCCCAGCTTCTGGGATATGACCCTCTCCTAGTTTCCCAGCTGTCACTCTAATTTTGCCTTCTTAAGACTCATTTCCTGGCTCTTCTTCCCTCACTCACACCTCAGTCCTAAAGTGAGGTGGTCTCTCTAAAGCAGGGGTTCCCAACCACTGGGCCATGGACCAGTCCTTTGCCTCTTAGGAACTGGGCTACACAGCAGGAAGCGAGTGATGGGCAAGTGAGCAACTTCATCTGTATTTACAGATTCTCCCCATCGCTTGAATTACTGACTGAGCTGCACCTCCTGTCAGGTCAGTGGTGGCATTAGCTTCTCATAAGAACATGCACCCTACTGTGAACTATGCATGAGAGAGACCTAGTTTGTATACCCCTTATGAGAATCTAATGCCTGATGATCTGAGGTGGAGTTGAGGTGGTGATGCCAGCGCTGGGGAGTGGCTGCAGATACAGATTAACATTAGCAGAGAGGTTCCACTGCACAGAGACCATAATAAATCAATTCCTTGCAGACTCATATTAAAATCCTCTCAGTGAGTGGCAAGTGACAATTCAGCTGCATCTGGTGGCAGGCTTTATAGTGGCAAGTGAGTTGAAAAAAAAGTGTGTAATAAAGGTAATGCTCTTGAATGATCCTGAAACTATCCTTGCTCCCCCACCCCTGTCTTGAGGAAAAGTTGTCTTCCAAGAAACTGGTCCCTGGTGCCAAAGAAGTTGGGGGCCACTGTTCTAGAATAATTGAAGCACGAGTGTCTCTACACAACAAATTCTAAATATGTGCTCCAGTCTTAAACTCCATTTAAAGACTACTATGTTCTGAAAGGAGGTGGGGGATGGGGAGGTAGCATTTAATGGGTACAGAGTTACAGCTGGGGAAGATGAAAAAATTCTGGGGATGAATGGGGATGTTGGTTGTACAACAAGGTGAACATACTTAATATCACTGAACTGTAAGTATTAACTACAGTTAATTAACTGTAACTGTCAGTGGTTAATTTCAGCTAAAATAGTAAATGTTATGCTATGTATATTTTACCACAATAAAAATTTATTCTGCACTAAATAAACTCACCTGTCTCTGTGATCATAATATTGTCATTGTGTCTGTCGCCTATTCCAAGAACAAAGGTGGCCACACAATAGCCTGCACAGGAATAAACAAATCTCTCCACCGCTGCCTGAAACTAATGAAAATGCATTTGAATATTAGTTGTCTTCTAACTACAAAAAGCAGCATGAATCTACAAATGACTTCTAATAAGAGACTATTCTGGAAACCATTTTCAGAGAGCAAGTTAGCTGTGTCTGATTTCATTAGCATCATATCTATAAATTGCCAACTTTCTCATTGCTCTGCTTATATTTTAGGTGAATATCCAGTGAATCACAATGGCAGGAGGAACAAACAAGAGTCAAAGGGCAACAGTAATTTAATCAAAGGGTTCACTTCCTCTCCATGCATCACTTGCCAACAACTATACGGAATGCATGGTAATTTCGCTTCATTTGTGAACATGCTTTGCTTGTGACCACTGAGAGCATGCTTGGGTTCACAGATCCACATATATAACAGATTAATAAGTGCTACTCATTATATTTCCTCCCCAAAAGGCTGCTAACCATGCAAATGAGAAGTGCTAATCCTGTGCAGCAGAACTTTAAACGACAGCGAACAGCCTAACCACACAGCTTGTGAAGGATTGAGCATATGCACTTCCAAGGAATGGTGGAACTGACATTTTCAGCATCCATGATTTACCATTTAGATTAGAGTTCAGCAGTAAATTATAAATTACTTTGTTGGGCATGCTGTATTTCCCAGGTACATAAGAATTTATACATGGTAACTAAATCTTTTGGCTGAACAACAAAAATAGATAGCCATAAAAAGCACTAACGGATTATTTTACAGAACCAAATTTTAAGCAAAGCATGCCTGATAATCAAAAGAGAAGCAAATGCTCATGGAGTCCTGAACTCAGTGCCTCTATTTTATACAGATATGCTGTCACCATGGGAGAGCACTTAAAACCTCCATTATTTCACAAATAAAAACTTCACTAATATGTCAGGAGGCAAGAGACTGGCAGATTCTTTGAAAACGTGAAACCAATATTGCTATATAAATGACAACTTGTAAGGAGCCATTAGACTGGGAAAAAGCATGAGCTCACCTTGTCTTCAGTAGGGGATTTTTCTTTGAGCCAGTGATTCAGGACTTCATCTTTAAACGCTCCCGTGTTGCCAACCGTGCTTTGCTGAATTTTGGCAATTGTCGTGGCGTCTTTCACAATCTCGATCATTCCTACAGAAAGATGCACTGAGTCTGATGGAGATTGGGGGCCAGTGCCTGGCCCAGAGGAGAAAAGACCATGCCTTTGTTGAGTGAAGGGCAGAGGTTTTTTTTGACTAGAGAGCTATTTTCCAGGTCTATCCTGGTGGTTTTCTCATGAGGAACACAAAGAAAAGGAGGAGGATATGGAAGTTGTGTGGGATATGCTTTCAATATCCCTGAATGACAAGAGGAAAGGGCTGGTTTTGAATAGCAATAAATAAAAGCATTTATGTGCTGAGCATATCCTTCCTCAGATGGCAATCTGTGCCTTTTCCTTTTTTAAATTACAGGGTCAAATGTAAATGGTTTTGTAGAGTTCTCAGATCAGAAACTTGAATAAACATATGTATGACTGAAACTAATTAAAAATACGTGACAGTAGTGTGTAATAGCTTTGATAATGTGAGTTCTGCAATAGTAAAATAAGTGACAGATCTTTCCATCTATTTTTAAATGTTTATTTGTGAGAGAAAAGTTTAATGTGTAATGAAATGAGTTAAAGTTTAGAGGTGGAGATGGAAAGAGGAGGGAACAAGTTCTTACTAAAATCATTTCCATGTATAGTCACAAGGATTTGAATCATGCATTCATGTATTTTCAACAGATCCACATTAAATTGAGAGTCACATTCATCAGCATAGAAGTGTTTTCTTCCTTTTCACATAGATTACAATTGTGATTTTTCAGTTAGTAAATGTCTACACTGAAGGAATTATAATCTTTTCAAACTAGCTGAGTGGTCTATTCATCTCTTGAGGTAACTACATACCTATTTTGTCACCAGTTGAAATGCAACCATATGGCAGGAGGCACAGATCCAAAGATTCAGTCTCCCAAATGGACTCCATGATTCGCAGAATCTGGGCATCAAAACACAGAAATGTTTATATTATAAATATATATATATTAGCGTAATATATTTTCCTTTTCCCTTAAAAATAGCAATCATATTTAGTAACACAAAATATAAAAGTAAATGTAAAACATATAAGCAACAACTGTATGTTTATTGGTCAAGCTGGCACTCTAAAGTTTTTCTTCTTTGTGAGCTTGTTAATTTTGGTTTCTGAAATGTACTTTGGGGAAAAGGATAAGTAAATTTCTTTTGGAGTAGGTTTTAGCTGTGGTTCATCACCTCTTTGTTCAAAATGATCTGCTCTAGTTGTGTCTATTTTAGCACAAAACTCTAACATCCTTACACGTATTTATCACTCAAAGGCAACAAGCAAAGCAGCAGTAACTACAATGATGATAATGATAGCGAATATATAGTGAGTGCTGCTTTATGTGTGATCCTTGCATTGCCCTATAACTTAGACAGGATTATTATTCCTATTCTATAGGTGAAGGAACAAAGCCTTGAAGAGCTTAAATAACTTGTCCGTAGCTGCCAAACTATGTGCCCCAACAAATAAACAAAGTAGGCTGGGCATGATGACTCACACCTAGAATCCCAGCAATTCTGGCAATTATCTGGCTCATGCCTAGAATCCCAGCAATCTTGGCATTGTCATAGTGTCTTTCACAATCTTGATCATTCCTGTAGAAGGATGCAGAGTATAATGGAGATTGGGGGCCAGTGCCTGGCCCAGGGAAGGAAAGGCTATGTCTTTGATGAGTGAAGGACAAAGAGGTTTTTTTGATCGGAGACCTATTTTCCAGGTCCGTGCTGTTGGACTTCTTCCTCTTAGGAAGAAGAGAAAGAAAAGGAGAAGAATATGAAAGTTGTGTGGGAGGCTGAGGTGGGAGGATTGATTGAGTCCAGGAGTTCGAGACCAGCATGGGCAACATGGTAAGACCTCATCTCTACAAAAAATAAAATTTTCCAGGTATGGTGGTGCACACCTGTAGTCCTAGCTACTTCACAGGCTAAGGCAGGAGGATTGCTTGAGCTCAGGTGTTTGAAGCTGCAGTGAGCCATGATTGTGCCACCATACTCCAACCTGGGGAATAAAGCAAGACCTCATCTTTAAAAAATTTTAAAAGACTGGGCGCGGTAGCCCACGCCTGTAATCTTAGCACTTTGCGAGGCTGAGGAGGGCGGATCATGAGGTCAGGAGATCGAGAACGTCCTGGCTAACATGGTGAAACCCCATCTCTACTAAAAATACAAAAAATAAACTGGGTGTAGTGGCATGCACCTGTAGTCTCAGCTACTCAGGAGGCTGAGGTAGAAGAATCGTTTGAAACTGGGAGGTGGAGGTTGCAGTGAGCTGAGATTGAGCCACTGCACTCCAGCCTGGGCAACAGAGCGAGACTCTGTCTCAAACAAACAAACAAAAATACCACACATACAAAGTACATAAAGGGCAATGGCAAACTTTCACTCAAAATGAGAAGACCAACAATAAATTTTGAGTTTTTAAAGTACCTATCTTTGAACAATTCAAAATATTCTACATATTTATTTGAAATTTAATAAATTCGCAAAAAGTTTGATTTGATTTCTCTTTTTCTTTTCTAAAATACCTCCTGGACAATACGTAGACCATTCCTGAAATGAAAGCAAAGCAAACGTATTCCTGTTTCTATATTAGAAATAAGTAAAAACAGAAGTTTAGAATTAGAAACATGACCAGTTTATAATAGGCTACCTTTAAATCAATGTGATTTGTCTACTTTAAAGAAACCATATGAAGTATTAGAAATTATTACATCTACAATACTGAACAACTAAAATCTGGAGAATATTACTTTACAAACTTGTGAAGCTAAAGTTTACCTAGAAATGTTGGAAAATATGAAATAATTAGTGCTGATGCATTCACCGTTCTCCTTCTGCCATAATAATACTTTACTCTTGTCACTAACCTGCAGGATTTCTGTGGTGACCTACTTGTTCACCTTTTCTCTCCTTCCCATCATATCATTCTCTTGATTTGTGTATGTATTATCAGGGGATATGTATCTAAAAAGAGTGCCTAGAAATGCGCAGACATGTCTATGAACTAGAATGAAGTGAGTTCTGGGGATAAAAATGGCTATTTTCTATGTTATCAAGCTTAGAATGGGGTGTATAAAAAAGACATTAGGTGAGGCAGGTGAATCTGGCTACTTGGGAGTGTTGGATATGCATCTTGGACAGAAACATAATACTCATTAGACTGCATATCTAATAGTCTGCAGCCATGTTCCCCAAGTGAAAACTCTCTACTATGTAATATTTGATCATAATTCATCATATGAAAGAAAAGAGTGGGAATACAGCCAGTAGTAGAAGGCATGTTTTTGATGTAATACAGAATTGTGTTTTCAGATAATTGGACACAATCTTAAAACTAGCATACCTGTAAAATAAGCATGTCTTGGCGCAGATCATCACCATGCTTAAAGATAATTCCAATTGTTTCCTTTGATAGGGCTGTAGGATCAGCACATTTAAACTCAAGCCACAGTGGTTTTTTCTTGGAAGCCATTACTTTGCATTTTTCAATCTGTAAGGAAGCAGTCACATGTTCCCCCAACACAATGAATAATGAATACACATGGTGGAGACACAAATTCTCTTGCAAAACATCACTATAAACAAGGACAAAGTCCTAGTTGGAAAATGATTTTCAATATTTGGGTAAAAATACAGAAGTTGTTTTCAACAAATCTGGAAATGCCATGTGAGAGCGAATTCACAACTCTTAAACCAGTGCCTCTCAAACTGTGCTCCGAAGAACCGCAAGAGTCTTTGGAGGTGCCTAAGAGGTATGGCAGATCTTACCCTCTCCAAGCACACAGAGCTCTGGCACTCCCACACTCTCTTTAATACACGGCAACCTGGCTACTATATTTGGCCTCCTTCTGAGATTTAATTTGAAAAACTAACTCTAATGCTACCACAATGTCAAAAAACACTATTATTTCAGAATCAGATGCAATAGGCTACATCTAAGAAGATGAAATTTAATAGAAATAAATGGAAAATTTTGCATATAGGTACAAAGCACCCTCTCCCTAAACCTCATACATCTAAATAAATTCAAGGTAGGAGAAATGTGGCTTGGCAGTCACTCAAACATAAAAACAGTAGGTGTTTCAGGCAAAGTTCAGTTTACCACAGATCAAAATTGTGATGCAGTCTTTTAAAAAAGCAAACACAATTTGAAGCTGTATTAATATGTCATAATTCCTATCAATCCCTAAATAATGCACAGTGGATAGTGTGTGCTTTTGCTACAGGGCCAGTTTGCTGGTAATTGTACATAAAATCAAACATTCAGGGGAAGAACTTCCTCATCTTTTCATGTGGCTTAACTGCTACAGGAGTTGCTGCCCTGCCGTAAACAACTAGAAAACAATGCAAAAAATAGAAAACTCTTTTCAGACATTGAACAACAGGCAGGGTAGTTTCATGACCCCTGAGAAAAGGAAGACAAATGAAGTGAGCTCTGTAATTGCCCCAGATTACTGCCTGGGGGCTTTTTCTTGGCTACAGCACAGAGAAAGGAAATCCAGGCTGAGCCCACAGTCCAGCAGTCTAAATTACTGTAAATGAAGTCTCAGTGAGGAGAGAAAAGAGGAAACAAAAAAAATTGGCTGAAAAATTTCCAAATTTGAGAGGCCATAAGCTCACAAATCCAAGGAGCTCCATAAACTCCAGCAGGCTAAACACAAAGGAAACCATACTAGGGTACATCATAATCAAATTGCTGAAAACCAGAAATAAAAGAGAATCTTAAAAACAGCCTGGGGGAAAAAAAAAGGCATGTTATGCAGACAGAATCAAAGATAAGACTCATCATCAGAAAACATGCAAGCCAGAAAAAAAAAAATGCTACTGCAAGAAAAAAAAAAAAGTCAATCTAGAATTCCATATTCAGGGAAAATATTTTTCAAAAATGAAAGCAGAATAAAAAGTGTTTCAGATAAAAGCTGAAAGAATTTATTGTCAGCAAACTTGCAGTAGAAAAGATGTTAGAAGCTCAAGAAAATCTGGAACTATGTAAGGCAATAAAGAGTACCAAAAATGGTAAACATGCAGGCAAACAGTTAAAAATTATTTCATCTATTAAGTCTGTTAAGCCTATTTTTTTTAAAATTGTTTAGGGCAAAAGTAATAATATATTGTGGTGTTTATATTATATGTAGAAGTTAAAATCATAATAAAAATAATGTGAAGGATGCAGGGGCTTAATGGAAGTATACTGTTACCCGTGTAATTACATGTATATTAAGTACTTTGTTATTTAAACATAATCAAGAGTGTGTGGTATTGATGTAAGGACAGACATTTAGATCAGTGGAACAGAACAGAGAATCTAGGTGTACACCCACACATATATGGTCAGTCGATACTTGACAAAGGTGCCAAAACAGTTCAACAGGAAAAAAAAAAAACCCAGTCTTTTCAACACATGGTGCTGAAAAATCTGGATATTAACATTAAAAAATGAACTCTTAACTTTCACCTCACACTGTATACAGAAATTAACTCAAATTGGATTGCAGACTTTAATGTGAGAATTAAAACCATAACCCTTCTAGGAAAAAAATATCTGCCACATTGAGTTAAACCAGAATTTCTTAACCTTGGCACTGTTTCCATTTTGGGGTGGCTAGTGTTTGTTCTGGGGGACTATCCTGTACCTTTCAGAGTAGTCAACAGCATCTAGTGTCCTCTACCCACTAGATGCCAGTAGCATTCTCCCAGTTATAACCATCAAGAATGTCTCTACACATTGCCAAATGTCCCTTGGCAGACAGAGGGATCACTACAGGCTGAGGCACTGGATTAGACAGATTTCTTGTTTTTATTTGAAACAGGATCTTGCTCTGTAGCCCAGGTTGGAATGCAGTGGCAAAAACACAGCTCACTGCAGTATCAAACTCCTGAGCTCAACCGATCCTCCCACCTCAGCCTTCAAAGTAGCTGGGACCACGGCACGCCACCATGCCCAGCTAATTTTTACATTTTTGTAGAAATGAAATCTTGCCATGTTGCCCAGTCTGGTCTCATACTCCTTGGCTCAAGTGATCTTCCTGCCTTGGCTTCCCAAAGTGCTGGAATTACAGGTGTGACACACTGTGCTAGGCCTAGACAGATTTTTTAGATAAGACACTAAAAGCACAAACCATTAAAGAAAAAGTTGCAAATTGGACTTAATCAAAATTTAAACCTTCTGCTCTTTGAAAGACACTTCTAAGAAATTAAAAAGGCAAGCCACGGACTAAGAGAAAATATTTGTAAAATGCATACCTGATAAAGAGTTTGCATACAGCTTATATAAGTGACTCTCATAAATAAAAAGAAGAAGGCAACCCACCTAAAAACTGGTGAAAGATTTGAACAAAAAAATTTCAGAAGAAGGTACTCTAATGGAAAATAAGCACATAGATAATCAACCTCATTACGGAAATGCAAATAAAAACAACAGTGATATACCACTTCATACTCATTTGAATGGCTAAGATTAAAAGGACTGATAACAACAAGTGCTTACTAGGATGTGGAACAACTAGAACTCATACACATTGCTGGTGGGAATTTAAATGTACAACTACTTTGGAAGAATGGCTTCTTGTAAAATTATACACATACACCATCTGACCCAACTATCCCACTGTTAAACATTTACTCAAAAATGAATGGAAAACAAACTGTGGTATATCCATATAAGGGACTGCTACTCTGTCATAAAAAGAAATAAATTACTGATACATACAATAACATGGATGCATCTTAAAAGCATTACAGAAAGTAAAATAATTTAGATATAAAACTATATACTGTATGATTCCTCTTACTGAAATTCTAGAAAAGGCATTTTATGATAGAAAGTAGATCTGTTGTATTAGTAGAGAGAATGAGAGAAGAAAAGGACTAATTGCAACGGGACATGACAGAACTTTTTCTATAACATTTCTATGGAAATGTTCCAGATCTTGATTATGGTGGTAGTTATATAACTATACATTTGTGAAAACTCATTGAATTCTACATTTAAAATAGACAATTTTTATTGTGTTATAAGGAATATCTCAAGCTGATTTAAAATAATATGGAAGGGAAATTGTCTGGTATTGAGGCTTTTATAACCAGTGATCAGACAAGGGCTTAAGAGAAACCCATCCACAGACTCTACGGCTTCCCGATCTCTGCATGAACATTAGCTTTTAAGTATTGGACCCCAGCAAGCATGTTAGACATCTTCAAGACATAAAAGACCACATGGAGACATCCAAATGATACCTACTGCCAGTGCTCCTGCTTTCAGTCCAGGATCATAGGGAACTCTAAAGCTTTTGGGGAGATGAGAATTCTGCAGGTTTTCAAGCTTTTGTTTAAGTTGTGCAATAACTGTAATTGTCAAAAGTAAACAAGAGTTATGTGAGTTCAAGAAATCATCAGTATTATCTATAACATTTTCTGAGAACACACTTATTCACAGCATTCTATATATTTGTTTTGGTGTGGAGCAGGAGAAAAATGGGTGGGCCCTGCCTTTGAGGAACTAATCACATGAACTGGCAAGATACATCAGGCTTACTGTGAGCAACATAACCATGTATACCTACTACAACAGGGGACAGAAATGTGTGAATATATGTGGGATAACACATAGACATTAACACAATCAAGTAGAGAAGAATGCTCTGAGGGTAATGTTAAGGAATTAACACTGTAGTTTTATTTCCAGAATGTGAAACTTTACCATCTGATTTGAGGAACAGACAGTTGAAGAAAATAATAAATGGAATTTGGTTAGGGTTCTGTAATTTCTTTCAAAAAAGGAACTTAGGTTCTGTAGAGAAGTAGAGAAGATGGATGTGACAATCTTAACATTCTAAAGGCAAACTACATGAATTAAAAATTACTGGATAACCAACAGAATAAGGGTCCATACAAATGTTTTCCTTTCTTAAAATACAAATAAAATATTATTATTACCATTATCATTTTTAGGAGGAAGCATTGTAAGAATCAAAGGGAGAAAGGAGAAATTTTAAATATTCAGAAGTTTAAAATACTGACTGAGTACATGAAGTGTCTATATAATAAGCCATAGTGCTAGGTCTAGGTATAGAAAAATGAAAAAGAGATATCCTCTACATTCAAGGTTCATACAGTTTACCAGGCCACTTAAGGACTTTAATTTAATGTAGTATCAATCAAAATCTATAGAAATACAGAGGGGTGACTAATTTTCCTAGGGCACGGGCAGATTTTCTTATGGTATGTATAATATATTAGAAATCACTTGAGAGAGAAGACAGGGTCTGTGTGTGTGTTTATTACCTTTACACACACAGATACACACACACAATCGTCTCTTGGTCTCTGTAACGATTGGTTCCAGGACCTCCTGCAGATACCAAAATCCACGAATGCTCAAGCCTCTGATATAATATGGTGTAGTATTTGCATATAACCTATGCACTTCCTCCTATATATTGTAAATTATCTCTATATACCTATAATATCTGATACAATGTAAATGCTATGTAAATAGTTATTATACTATACTGTTTAGGGAATAATGACAAGAAAAAAGTCTGTACATGTTCAATGCATATGTAATTTTTTTCCCAAATGTTTTCTATCTGTGCTTGGTTGAATTTAAAGATTTAGGACCACAGATAGGAAAGAATGAATGTATCTCTATATATTACTCGAGACATATACACAGAGAAATGCCAAAAATTTAAAATAGCCTCTCAACAATTCATCATTTTATAAGACTGAAAACTTGAAAACTACATGTGTATATTCAGAGATGTGAAGAAAAAGGTAAAGATTTGGAAATATCTAATCTTTGTGTATGCAATTGTTCTTAAAAATACATATTATATCTGCATGTTACTTAACTCTTCAGAGTTAAGAATATGTAAATATAAAGTTAAAAATTATGAACTTGTAAAACGAGAACTTTAATGTGCTTACTCTATGCAGACAGAAGACTAAAAATTGTGTTCTTGGTGCCTTTGGAAGGATGCAACTTAGATTCCAGAAAAAAAAAGAATTATAGGAACAATAGCATTTGGAGACGAAAGCATCTGGAAAGAGAACCAAGAAAACATAGCCACTGTACCTTGGGAACTGACGTCATATTTTTCAGCAGAGAGCGATTTAATATCAAGGGTGACTTTTTGTAACGTCTCAATTACTTGAACTTGTTGGGTAAAGTCATGAAGCATGGCTGTACCACAGCCCCTCAGGTAGGCTTCCAGGATCACGGCGAATCTCTGCTGATAGTGTCTGGACTGGGCTATCTCACTTCTCAAGAACCAAAACAAAAAGTGACCGATTCTTTTGTTCTGAGGGCAGGTACAAGAAAGTTGAAATTATTATGACTAATGCTTTAGGTCTAACCAGTCAATTCTTGGCAACTTAAAATTTCATGCTATTATCAAAATGGAAGTACTTACTCTTAAACCACGCTTCAGCAGAAATCTGGCAAGGGCACTATCATGGTATGGTTCAAATTTCACAGCCTAAAGGAAGAAAATATTGGCATTTGTAGGACTGTATTCTATGTTGTTGCATCAGGGAAAAGGAAATGGAGAAGAACTGGTACTCTGCTTTAGTGGGTCTTCATGGCTAGAAAGACGAAAATCTTAACAGTCACTTAAGTTTAATCCTCTCTTTTAGAAGACAGTTAGGACCAGACTGAATCACTTGCTTAAGATCATAGAGCAGCCAATGACATAAGTGGGATTAGAGGCTGAAACTCTTGACTCACAGTCATGTGCTGTTGGTAAATTCAAAGGTGGAGAGGTGAGGGAATTTGCTCTAATTAGGTCTTACTGGTTTTGCTGGAAGGATAGAGAGGAAAGATGGAGACACTGTAACAAATCTATAAAGTGGAAGGTAAGAGAGGATGTGAGAAAGAAAATAGACAGCAGAGATATAGTATAATACACGTAAGGAGAAAAATATTCATTAGATAGGAATATCCTAAAAGCCCTGTAGCTTCCCTTTTTGGCATATCACTGGCAAGTTACTGTACTGTCTCATAGGTTTTAACTACAAGTAAACAGTGAGTGGGTCTAGGTCAATCCACACAGAGCAATCACTACCCCCTGCCACAATTTGGTGTGTACAGAGCTTCCTGTCCAAAAGTCCCTGATTTTATGTTTTCTTAAGTATAATTTGATCTTCATTTTTAGTGTTTAGTCATTTTCATATCACTGGGCTGATGTTAGAGAATATTGACTTTGTACAGGTCCATTATTGAACAGGAAGAACCAATAAAATTGGTAAAAGCACAATTAAATATTTTGAATGCATGGCTGTTTCATTGTTCTCTGTGCTTTTCTGAAGTTTGAAATAGTTCATAATTTCAAAAGCAGCAACACTAACAAATATTGTTCAGATTATTATAAAAGCATGTATAGAGGATAGATGTCATATGTATACATGAAGAGAGACTTAATATTAAATATCTCAGAGTATGCCCTTTATGAATATAAATGGCATATCCTTTTTTCTTGAGGAATGGAAGAAATTCCCATTCTAGTTTATATTTTAGGAACGGGGGCTTCTTGGAAGGAGTCACAATTCCTCCTCTGGTGTTCCAGTTTGGAAATGATCAATAGTGACTTCATCATGTTTCAATTATGCAAGTGTTTACAAAAATGCTTTTCAAAGGTATTGTCAAATAGGTGCCACTGTAGCTGCATCAAAGGGCTTAATTCTGAGAATGTGGTCATTTAGCCACCAGTACTCATTTTTGAAATGTTTTAAGTTTCTAACCCAGATGTGAGTCTTTCTGACCTTCTTCAGGTTTCACTTCTGTAAAGACAGTACAGATCTCAACTAGGAGACCATTTTAATCAGGAATGAGTCATATAGCCATAGCTGAAAATGTCTCAAGTAGTTTTACAAATGACTACTCTTCTTCAGATTTAAGACCACAAATTCAATGTTAATATTATTTATTGACCTTTTTCATTTAACACATTTCTAAAAAGAACATTATTCATTTTCCAGCTCTTTAAAGTTTACTTGTGAAAACTAATTCATGGTAGCCTTGGGATTTGCAATAGAGCTCATCCAAGTTTATGTTGTTTTTGTTAAGGAGAGCTAGAAAATTGAAAATTCTTTAATTATTCTAAAATTGTTTAGTGTTATACCAATATCTAAACTAGTGAAACAAACTGCTGAATATATTTAATGGATGAAAACAAAGCCAAATGTAATGTTTCAAGTATCTGACTAACAGGAAGGTGAAGATTCAGAGTTAAAGTTGAGGCTATCCGAAATGCTTATCAGAAAACTCCAGAACTTCCTAGAAATAATAGATAGTGATTAGACAGTTTAGTGTGTAAAATTTAGCCTGGTTAATTCTAAAGATCTCAGGCTAAACATCACTTACTCAGAACTCTCCCTGGGTCCCTTAATCAAAATTATGTGTCCTTTGGATCCCTGGACTGTTTTCTCATAATATGGTATAGTTTACCCTTAAGTATTTGTCACAATTTGGTATTAAACATCTGTTTGTCTGTGTACTCATTTAATGCCAGTCTTCTCAGTACGTGTTGTTGAATTAATGAATAAATAGGTCTGTGCTCTAAAATAGCATTTCTATTCAAATTCATTTACTTCCTTTTCCTTGTCAAGCAGTACAATATAATTTGAGAACTGCTAAAGTGAGCAGGAGAACTGTTTCCCCTCCTTTCTTTAAATTCTTAGCTAAACCTTAGAAAAATCACTTGTCCTCTCAGGACCCCAAGGAATGTCATGAGAAACAGAGTAGAAATACATACAGTCCTATACCTGTCTGCAGAGAGGAACTTTCAAGATTCTACCCAGACATGAGATGTTATTCTGTGAACTGCAATAAACATAGAGAGTAAGACCTTTTCTCTCTAGCCCCAGAATCCTGACACCGGACTGATGAAGGATATGGTGGTGGGTTTGTGAAAGGTTTGGGGCAGTGAAAAGAGCAGGATCTGGAGGCAGACCTCCTGGGTTTGAATTCTGGTCTGCCTCATTCAGAGTATGTGACCCGGGGCACCTTACTTAGCCTCTTTGTAGCTCAGTTTCCTCATGTACAAAGTGCAAATATTAATTTGACTTCCATCATAGTTATTGGAAGAGTTAAATGAGACAATACTGAAAGCATGTCAGTCACTTGGAGTCACAAGGAAGCATTCAGTAAGTGGAATCTATCGTTAAAGTAATAAATGAGAACAAAGTATTCCCTCAGGGCCAATTCTCCTAAAAACGTGAAGTACTACTGTCTTCAAAACACTTGTCAGCAAACCCTCCAAGACAGTAAAAATGTGCATGGAACAGTTTACTACTTTTTGAGGCCGCTTCATCAGATCTACTTTGGCCGATGATGAAGCTCTGAACAAAGGGCGTTTGATGACAACTGAATGGGGTGCTTGTGCACATGCAAATAAATTCCTTTTGAGAAGGCTTCCATTGATAACAACACCAACACCCCCTACCTGGACCAGCTGTAGAAGGTAATGCAGAACATCATCGTCCTCCAGACTCTCCAGTTTCTGAACTGCAATGGCTCTTACATTTTCATCTGAGAAATTGCAGTCCAGGAGTTGCATTGTTAAGCCAACATCCAAAGCACTTTGATCCCAGACTTCCCTTCTGGCCAACAATTGGTATGTTTTGGCCACAATTTCTTGCTGTCCCCATTTCACTGAGCTAAATAGCTTAGGATATGCTTTTGGGTGCTTAAGGCTTTCATATCTAAAGTGCCAGAGCAATTCTTTGTCCTCTGCTGTGAGAGGGTTAAGTGGATCAGTGGCTATGATTGCCTCCAATTGCTTGCGAAGCTGGTTGGGCATTTCTGCTCGAACCCGGTCACCTTCCGGGTCAGGGGTGGGCTGATGCTTAGGCAGGGCTATTGGGTAGCAGTAATTATCCAGAAGAATGGAGATGGACATTGAGTTCTCCTTGTCTGGGTTGGTTGCAGATGTGAGTTTGTCAGCATTGAAGCTTCCTTGATCTTCTCCCTTCCCGGATATCTGCCACATGTGGAGGACGTATTCTCCACGGCGCAGGAGGAACCGGTGGTCTATTAGCAGCAGGTTCACATAATAGAGAAGCTGAGCTTTGCCCTTGGACTCAGAACTGGGGGACTCCGCAGGGGCCTTGCTGGACAGTGCTGGAGCTTTGCCGCAGTAGATCTGGAGGTTCAGTAGAGCGCCTTTGGGCAAGTCTTTGATTTTGATACTGAACTCAAGCCACACATTCCAGAGCACCTCCTCTGTGAAGGGTTTGGGGCTGGTTCTCCTTTGGCAAAGGACTTGCTGTCCATGTTGGATGTTTGCCTCTACAAAAACCGTGAGGTCGGTGTTCCGCGGCAGGACCGGGATATCAATGCCTCTAATCTTCACCCTGAACTTGCGGTCACAGTCCCACAGGGACACAGTGAACACACTCTCATGGTCCTTGCCGTGGATGGTCAGCTGCTCATGGTAGCCAGTGACTCCCGTGCAGTCGTCCACCAGCGGCCACTCTTCCTTCCTCACCTCGTCTAGGGCCGGATCCGGAGGCGTGTCCAGCACCAGGTGAATCTCTTCTCCGTTCTTGAGGCAGTGCCTCACCCACTGGAAGTTTTTGATGGGCGTTTCGCCCACCAGGTACTCATCGCGGCCACAGACGCGCAGCACAAAATCCTGTTCGCTTTGGCTTTCGGGGATATCCATCAGATATTTCTTCTTGGCCATCTTGGTGAAGAAGCTCTGCAGGATGGTGCCGGGGGTGTCGTCGGCCGATACCTTGATGGTCTGGCTGGTGGTGCTGCGGTGAATGACGATGAAGATGCAGTTGTTGGCAATCTTCTTCCACAGGTACTCCGGGAGGGGCTTGGACGTCACCCAGGGGTGCATGGCGTAGAGCCTGGGGTCGCGGCTGGCCACCTCCGCCATGCGCGGGGTCACCAGGCCGCGGCGCGTGAACTCCAGCTCGTCGTCGTGCACGTTGCTGACGTCGGTGACGTCATAGCCAATCAGCGCGGTGAGCTGCCGCTGGAAGGCCTGCGACTCCTCGGAGGGCGCACGCCGCTGCACCAGGTGGATCTGGCCCGGGCTCCGGTGCATGGCCTTCCAGTAGCGCAGGCAGTCCAGAGTCTGCACCACCTGGTACTTGTCGTAGATCTCGTACCACTGCCCCTTCTTCTGGTAGAGCAGGAGGAAGTGGTCCGGGCCCAGCCGGTGGTAGAAGTCCGCCGCCACGCTGGTCTCCAGCGCGCGCAGCCACACCTGGGCCTTCATCTGCTCCACGTTGCCGTGGCCCGCCACGTGTAGCAGCGCCGTTTCGGGGCTCTTGCAGCTGCGCTGGCTGGTGGGCAGCACGAACTCGATGGGGATGAGCTCCATTGAGGACAGGCTGGCCGCAGCGCTGCGCGGCTTCATCCTCCGGCGCCTGCGGCGGTTGTCCTCTCTCAGCACCACAGGCTGTTCATAGTTCTCCAGCTCCATGCCCTAAGCGACCTGGGAGCGGAGGGACACAGGGATTTGTCACAAGAAAGGCATTTTCCCTTTAAGTTTTTCTGGCGAGATGAGAGGAAGAGGAGGTATAAGCGGCAGACGTGTGCACAGGGACCCAGAGAGACCAAGGATTTTAAGCTGAAAGCACTACAGCCTTTCAAAGCGTGGGCTTTGGAGTCGGGCGGTGAGTCTTGGCCCTAGCAATTACATTCTGGGTCACTTGGGGGCTGTTTAATATCTGAGCCTGTTTCTCATCTCTCAAAGGAATCAGCAATGCCTCAGAGGGTGGAGGTGAGAGTTAAATAAAGTAATACTTGTTCAATATGGGTGACAGGTATATGGAGGCTTATTGATTCTTCTACTTTTGTATGCTTTGACAGTTTTAAAGAGGTGGGGAAAACACTCATCCAGCACAGCGTGTGACACGTTATAATGGCTCAGAATGGAAATTGTTCTTAAACATACTGAAACGTATAGATGACTAAAACAGTACAGTTAAGGATCAAGTCCAAGTTTACAAGGTGCATCATGAGATGCCAGAAAACCTCACTTTGAAAACAGGCCCTTAACTTAACTTCCTCTTTGTTCAGTCTCACACTTCTTGGAACCCAGACACTTCACCCAACTTGCGTCACATTCCCTGTTCTCAAACTGCCTGGGCCCAGGATCTACTCCCTAGTCAATTTCCTGTCTCTTGGATTCATTTTTTTTTCCTAATTAGGAAAACAAGTCATTTCATTCATAAAACTAAAAAATGTTGGAATTGATAAAGTTACAGTCAAAACTGTTTGCAGATAGGTAAAATTTTGAATCATGGAATTTGTCAGTATTCTGGCTGTCATTGCTATATTATGGCAGTATCTTAGAAGAGTCACCCAAGACTGTACTCTCCTAATAGAAACATTTAGGTAATTTTGACTTTGTACCAATTAATTTGATCTGTCTCTACTGAATAGTGGGGAAGCCACAGGATGGAGAGCAGGATTTCTGGAATCTAGTGACCTTCTGTTTAGATCCCCAATCAATTATTTAACTTTTTTTTTGCTCTAATATTTTCATTTTTATAACACATATTCACAAATTTATTCTCATTAACCTCTTTCCACAAAATTCAGTAAGTACCTACCCTTCACAAAGCAATTAAGCATAAATGTGACATACTGCAATATGAAATCCTTCAAATAATGATTGAAATTGGAAAGGCATTAAAACTGAAAGATGAATAGATAGGTATTTTGCTTTTAATATTTAGTGTTACTTCATTGTAATGCATTATATTCTAAACAGGAATCAACTATTGAAACAAAATGTTTCAGAAAGTATCATTTACTCTTTTAAATAACTAATGTTAGACTCACAACTACATTATTTCCTTAAGAAATAGTGGAGCATTTGATGTATACCAAAAAAGAGAGCTTGATTAAAAGATAAGAAAGACAAATTTCATTTGATCCAAACTTATGTTAAATCTTGGCTTAACTTTTAAAACCAATATTCCCTCTCTTAAAATATGAACTTATATTTAGTACGTGAAACCAACTGTCCTAAAGAACTGTCTCTTGTGGCTTAAAGCATTCATTTTGGTCTTTTGCTGCATTATAGAATAACTAACAAAGAAGAGAACTGTAAGATACATTGATATTGACACTAACTTGAAATAAAACATGTCCAAATTTAGGCAGCATATAAATACACAGCAATAACTTCTGCCTCGGTGATACCAAACGATCTTATAAGATGCAGAGGAAAACAGGCTGACTAATACTCACTGGTTTCCTTCATGGTTGAACTATGAAGCTTTCTCCTTTTATGAGATGATGTTGGAAACACTGTAAGTACAGTAATCTTTAAGCATGCACTTGTAAGAATATGAAGCTTGGCTGCCGTGCCTTCCCTTTTCCTCCCCAAACAAAAACAAAGATCTGATGCACCTGCAAAACTATTGCCGGAACCTAGTGGATATCCACAATACAGGTTGTACTAGACAATGAAACACAGACATTCAGTGGTAGTATCATCTCAAGAACTGACACCAGTTCCAGATAAAAATAATCTAGCCCAGAAGGAAGTGCCACTATTCCGTGTCAGACCCAACAAAGAGCAAAAAATAGAAGGAAGCAATACCTGATAAAGCAGCGGAGGCGATGATGCTGAGGGATCATTTGTTTAATTTTTGAAAACAAAACAAATTCAAACCTACCCAGTGTGCCTCTAAACTCTTCCGCTTTTCTGGGGCTCCCTTCATATCCAGATGCAGAGGAAGTGTTGCAGTTACCAGGAAGGAAGTTTTAACCAAGTTGATTATACGTGTGATTGCTCATTTTAAAAGTGTCAGAAATGCATTTCCTGTTTTAGCATAGAGAGGGCAAGAGTATGAGACTGAGCAGTGTTTACCATGGTTTTTTTTCTTTTTCTTTTTTTTTTAAACTCTTTGAACTAATTTTTCAAAAGTTGTGATACTGAGACAAAATGACATAAATCCAAACCAAAAATATCCATTATGAGACATAAACATATGATCTATCTTTGTAGCTAGTTCTAAGTAGAAGAAAAGGCCTGAGAGCCACAGTATTAGACATATTATTAGGAAGACTTTTACCAGTCAAATTAAACTCATTCCCTTCCTGGGAATTCAAATGAATCCTTGTTTATACACTAACTGATGGGTGAGGGAAGAGAAACCTAGTCATCTTGAGGACTAAGTTATCAAGCTGAATATTTTTAAAGGCACGGTCTGGGAGCTCACTTCCTTAGCTTGGTGAGAGCTTTCTCTATTTTTTCAGAGCATTTGGGGCCTAAAATATCACTGGCTCAGACTGAAAGCACTGCAGCATGTGCATGTGTATGTATATAAATGTGACATACTGCAGTAAGTAACTCTTCAAATAATGGTTGAAATGCTAAAAGTATTAAAATTGAAAGATGAATAATAAGGTATTTTGATTTTAATGCTTAGTACCACTACATTGTAATACATTATATTCCAAACAAGGATCAACTATTGAAACAAAAATTAATGCTTCAGAAAATGTCATGTGTTGAGGATGGAGCCTTACTGTCAACAATGATTGATCAATTGACTGCAGACAAAATATCTGGTATCAAGGGGGAAATATTTAGTATCATGGGAAAATATCTGGTATCCTGGGGAAATATTTGATATCATGGGGAAATTGGGGAACTGAACACTGTTATAGCATCAGGCAGATTCCATCCTGGGAGATGGCTCCTGATTCCTATGGGAGTAGAGAATGAATAGAAAAGCCATCCTAAATCATTTTTAGGGTAGCTTTGTATCTTCCAGGTGACCTCAGTTCTTTGCAGAACCTCCAAGCATCCTGAACCAGTGCCCCCTTCCCTCCATCTCAAGAGTTTCCTATACTAGAGTTCATCACACACACACACAGACTCTCTCTCTCTCTCTCTCTCTCTCTCTCTCTCTCTCTCTCTCTCTC